TTTTTTATGCTCTATATATTGAATATTCTGTAAGAAGTATTTTCTTTTAATTATTGCGTACTAAATTATAGTTATTATTTTATTAACAAGTACTTAATAATAGTAATATCCATGGCTTCGAAGGCCAAAGGTGGTTCATGTTGCGCTGTAGCGTCATGTATTAACTATTCGGGCAAAGTAAAAAATCTTGGAAGAGATACGTATATCGTTTCACAGGTAACTATTATTATTTTTAAAGATACTAGCTTATTTAACTCAAAAGTTTAAGAAAACCCGATGTTATTTTATATTTAATCTTTTTTTTTTTATAAAATTAAAAATATTAAAAATTAAAAAAAATAAAAATAAAAATATTTAAATATTTACCTTGAAACTAAATTATTTTTATAATATACCAAGATAATAATTTATTTTAGATTTCCTAAAGATCTAGAGTGTAAACAAATATGGATATTGAAGTGTAGAAGAAAAGATGATTGAAATCCCAATTCATCTTTCATGTGTTCTGAACATTTTACTGCTGAAGTCCGTGATTTGAAAGCTGAACTTCTAGATAACTATATAATTTTATTTTAGATTCAATTATTACTTTTAATTACACCAATGTATTATTTTTATTTGTTTTTTGACTGAACTATTTTTTATATTATTTTTATATTTTATATCAATTGTGTAAACTTACGAGTACAGTTTACTTAAGCATAATTATTATTATAATATTAATGCTGAAAAATACTGTTTAATAAATTTAATTAATATGTATAACTGTAATGTTTTATAATTGATTTGCATATTATTATACAAAATAAAAATGCATTTGTTAAAATAATATTTACGATGTAATTCAAACAATAATATGGGCATATTATTGACTAGTGTCCAGCATTATAAGAACTAAGAGCTCATACTGAGGTTTTTCGCGTACAGGAAATGTCTGCTAAGTGTCCTGGTGAAAGGACAGCTCAAGTAGTTCATGATTAAGCAATTTCTATTCTCAGCATACCGATTGGTGATGAACAATATTTATTATTTGATGCGACGCATATGGTAGGTACTTTGCAAAGTAAACTTAAAATTAGAGCCAAAACCTGCGGAAGATGTGTGCGACCATTATTTAATTTCCACATTATTGATTTTCAATCTAAGATGATGTTAAAAGAAACATGTTTTATAATCAAAGAACGAGAAAAATATTAATATATAAATATTGTTGCGTGCCAATATCAGATCCAAGTTCAGGGTGTTATTTTAAATGAAAATTACAACTCTTAAGAACAATAATGTGTTTATTACGTATAAATAAAGTTCATGTAACTGACACAAAAAGTGGCCGAGTGTCGTGAAGGTGCTCAGGTCTCTGTGGCTCTGGTACATCTCCCATTGTTGATCTCTGGGTTCCCTTATATATGAAAAAGCTTCTTGTTATTGTAGTCCATAGCCTTGAATTTCATATATATCCTTGGAGTTGTTTTGATAATTGTTTTTGGTAAAAACAATCTCCAGGATGCAATTTGACCCTAATTGTCAACACGTACCAATGCAATGTTTTGTTGCATACGAGTAACCTCAATAATGCATTTCACTCGACCTCGGCACGCGTAATGCACTATTACGATGTTTATTATGATGTTGTTGAGAAGTAGATAATTACACCCGAAAATGCATTCTAATCCTAATGCAACGAGATTCATAATAATATGTATTTTTTATCTTATGTATATTATAGCCATATAATATATTATATTATTTCATTATGCCACATATTATATATAGTCATATTACTATTGCTAATACTTATAGCAATACAGTGAAAACTGTCTAAAGCGGAATCGCATGGGACCAACAAAAAATTCCGCTTTACTCAATAAAAAGGAAAAATTCTGGATTATTCAAAACAAATAAATAAGAAATATCAAAGAATATTTCTCAATTTATTGTTATAAATACATAATATAAGTTATTAAAATTCATTAAATTTGATCAGTTGATATTTTTCATTTAATGAAAGGCACTTATATTTTGGCATTTTAATATTTAATGCGATGAACGAAAGATAAAATAAAATTAAAAGTGTACGTACGACTGTTGGTGTAAGACTGTTTCACTGTTACAAAGAAGAAATTTCGTATCGTTTAAGATGCGATAATATGCATTATATGTACAATACTACAATGTACATATTATATTTTACGAATATGTACCTATAGAACAATTTTATCTTCTTTATTTATCACTATTTAACGATGTACATTGTACATCGGCATATCTATATTTTATACCATATTTTTGGTTTAGATTTGATACGCTCGTGTCATTTTTCCGGTTTATGCAAGGTTTTTACTTGCATGGGACTAACAAAATCGTTCCGTTTTATTGAAGTTGAGCGTCTATATAAAACTATAGGAACGTGCCGGAACCATAAAAATATTCCGTATTAGATAGTTTTCCGTTTTATTCAGGGTCCGCTTTAGACAGTTTTCACTGTATTATATATTATATTATATATACTTATATTTAATAATATATCTCGTAGCCCATGACAATATTGTACTTAAAAACAATAAAAATACTTTATTAATAAATAATAATTATAAACTTGTATTACGGTGTCATACAAACAATAAATACCCGCTAAACTTTGTACGACGGGTGACGTCACTAGATAGGGGACGGAGTGGTGGGTTTTGATTAGTTTACACGACTGAGGCAACCTCTATTATCTATAAGCCTTGCCTTTCTCCGGGTCGTCTGCAACGGCGGTAGATAACGACGGGGAGACATAGAGATAGTAAAAAATCTAATTTTCTGATTGGCCAGTTCATTTGTTGACTCCTAAACCTGTACACTTTTGATAAAGTACAGAACAAAACCGTACATTTTTGGTAGGTTAAAACCGCTCACTTTTAATTTCAACCCCAAAAAAGTTATTTTTACTTAGATTAGATATACTTAATAAATAATAATTTATAATTTATTCAGAAAAAAAAAATGTATACACAAGATTTTTCATTTGACTGCACGTTGTAACCGTGGACGTACAATTTTTAATAAAACACCGCCAAACCGCATTTTCACTATTACACACTCTAAATTTTCTAGATTTGCTAGAAATTAGCACTTGCCCTTTTTATTACTCTCAATTATTTTAAAATCCATTATTATGCGTAATAAAAAATATTTTAATAATTTAATAAAATTGCAAAAAACTACTACATATAGATAAGCACTATATATGTATACTGAATACACAAGATACAAGACCGACTAATAAAGTTATAACGAGCGGTGAGTAAAGCTTAAAACGTGTTAGCATGATTATTGCAGTATATCTTATAATCTTTCTTATCCGTTAGTTAGCACTAAAAATAGTGTGCGGTTTTAACCACTATAAGTTTGGGGTATTTTGTTATTAATGATCGATAAAGTGTGCGGTTTTCGGACGCAACCAGTTCTTTATACCTATCAGAAAAAAAGGGAACTATTCTTCGTTTTATATTATAAGATTCTTTTACTTATTTATAATAATGTATATTAATAATCAAATATAATAAAACATTTTATAATTATTAGAAAATCTTAATTTATATTTAGGTTGTATAAACTTTGATTGGTGTATCATGTTAACACGTTCTAAAATTTAAATATGAAGTAAGATCTTTTTCTAATAATAATAAAATATTTTGTTATAGTTGATTATTAATAAACGATATTAAAAATAAGTAAAAGAATATTAAAATAAACTAAAGAGGTTATTACTTTATTTTTTTGTAAATTTATTTAATTTTAATAAAATCAACATTCCTTCCTAACGAATATAAATTTAAAATATGTTATATTAAATTTAATCACATAATTCAGCATATATATATATTAATATATTATGCTAGTATTTACACATATTTATAATTGTATTAAATGTTTGATTCAAACCCTGGTTTTCATCTCGGATTTTAATAACAAAAAAAAATCTCTAATTTCAGATTAAAATGGCAAAAGAATGTATTAACAAACATCAATTAGATAAACTCTATTTGCTATTAGAAAAAAATGAGGTAACAGAAGACTCGGAAGAAAGAATTAAAAAAGAAAAAATTTAATTAATTAATCATAAATTTAAGAACATATTTAGAAAATAATATTCTAGTTTAATAGAGAAAGAAAAATTAGAAAATGAGCAAAATAAAATTTTAGACGATTATATTTTCTCTTCTTATATTATGAGAAAATATAATTAACTTATATACATAGAAAATAAAATAGATTTAGAAAATTTAATTTGGCATATTCGTAATTATTATAGTAAAATAGTCGTTATTCCATTAGCTGATTTTTTCTAAATATTATTAAGCTGTTATTATTATTATATAAAAATAATATATATATTTGATACGATTCAATAAATATTTATTCATATTATGATTTTAAATTTAACAAAACAAATTTAATATTATACCTATTTGAACTTTTATAGAAATACGAAATGAAACGAATAAAATTTAAAATGAACCTAAAAACAAATTAAAAATACCGATTTAAGATAATCACATAATAATAAATACTATACGAAAATTTCTATATATATATAATATATATACATATTATTAAAATATCAAACTTGAATTATTTCGTATTTTTAAAAAAATTCGAGTTATTTAACAATGTAACTCGAAAAATACATCAGTCGAATTAATTTTTACCTCCCTTGATAATCGAGTTATCGACACTTTACTGACTGGGTTTGATTTATGATGTCAAAATCCATTTTTAATTTAAAAGTAATTAATTGAAAATTTTTATCTGATACTTAATATCATAAGAATGTTTAGATTACGCAAGTAAAATAATAAAGTAAATATTAACCTAAAAGGAAAGACATAACACATGTATCAATATAATACAAGTGTGTTTAAACAGAAACAAAAGTAATTATTTCACATCGAAACGTTAATTTTTGTTGCATTTGTGTTACAGCTATTCACATCGAATGATAACATTTTTTATACTAAGTTACAAATTAAATTAATGATAATTCTCTAATTTATTAAATTGGTTACTGAGTAAAACATATTATAATTTCCTAGACATTATGTACATCTCATTGGCACTTGTATGGATATGTTTCAAAATAATTCATGTAGAAAATGTTCGATGTCCGATTGGTAATTAACAATATTATTGAACTGCGTACATAAAAATTTTGAAACTTGTATAAATAGTTGACGAATAAAAACACAAATATATAATAATATAATATAATTGATTTGCGTTACAATCAAGATCTGTTTTGAAAAATCAAACATTTTTAAAGTATTTTTAGTTATTATTCGTATTTGACACGGATTCACTTTATTTTTATTTTCACCAAAGTATATTTCATGAACTATAATAAATAATAATTTTTTTAGGAGAAATGACAGATGAAAAACTCTGCACAGAATTAAGAACAAGTAATATACTCATTGAATATATCTAATTTGTATTTGTTTTATAAACATATTTGAATGTGCTATTACCAAAAACGATAAAGATAAATTAAAAAATACATCAATTTATAATAGCAATAAAACTACTATAGGTTATTTGATTATTGTAGGTACCTATTACCTGCTGTAAATTAAAATTTGTATTTTCTAAACTACTCATATTGTTTATAAGAGACATATATGGTTATATTTCTAAAGTAAACAATAAATACAATTTAGTTGATTGTCGGCAGACTAAGATCGTAATATTATAATATTTTACAATGTATGATTTCGTGTAATCGTGTATATACGATCGTATATAATCGTATATTCAGGCACTTAACTTTTATTATCGCCAACGTGCACTACTTCTAAAAAAATTATATTATCCCTTATCTTCAAAACAATAATCTTTAATTAGAAATATAAAAATTAAATAATTTAAAACTAAAAATAATTGATAGTATTGGAAATAGTGATATTATTTTAAATTAAATAATAATATTATAATGATTGAAAATATAATAAGTAATTGAATCGTTTTTTAAGAAAAAGATTTGTAAAAATTTATCTCTTTTCTATCTAGATAAAACTGATTTTATCTATATTTGTATTTAGATGTATTTTTTTTTATTTATCTCTATCCAGATATATTTTAAGTTCAGATATCTTAACTATATCTAGATACAAAATTATTATCTGAACATAACTCTGTTCATTATGTAGCGTTGACGGAGGCTGCGATGTCCACGATATACGAGTATTTCGGTCTGTATTCGGTGACGGCTATACCGACAATGAGAATATTCATGTGTCGCTTCGGTTTTCTTCGTATTGTGTTGACGACAATTTTATTGTAATCAGGCAGCAATTACGACGAGTGTGGGACTGGTGACTGCGTGACACAGTCGATGTACGATGTACTCGACGAGGTACTCGATAACAGTCCCGATACTACTGTATAAAATATTGAATTCCCTTATTAAGCAGTGCATACGAATACATATATTTATATAGAAATAACTTGCGTATTACGTATTTTGAATTTACATACAACAAACATATTCAGTTAATAATATTTTTCTCTGTAGTGTTTTATGCTACATATATTTTCCGTATACAGATTACATACTTGTACTACGAGATACGTACTTAGCAAACATAAGTTCTCAACAATTTGATGAATGAAATGTTGGTTCTGCTGCCACAAAATGAAGCGTTTGCTGCAGTGTAATTGTGATTTAAAAATTACAAATGAGTTGAAAAAACAATGAAATATATAATTTAAAAAAAAAAATGTACACTGAACTAATTGTTATTAAGATTTTCTGAACACTATAAAACAATAAAAGAGCATTAGCTTAATGTCTTACGCTTTTAGCTACACTGCTCTTTTTGTCGCGTCCGTGGTCGCTTGCGTTAGTCAAAATGTGCTGCTACAACATTTCAGATATTTTACTGTAGTGGTCGCTGTGCAGCACACTATGATTTTTAACACATTTATTATTTAACGACGTCATACGTTCCTGTTTAGCTTGAGGTAGTTTTGGTAAGGGATGTTTTCAATAAATAGAACACTTGTGTTTATACCTTAAATATTTATAAAACTGTATACCTTATAAAACAATAATTTAAATTAACATAGCTTACTGTTATTACAAAAAGTTACTAAAAGTGGGAGTGACTATGTACTCGCGGCGATATGGTTATTATTATGTCTACGACAATCAGTAGTCTTACATAATACGGTGTAAATAGTCAAAGTAGAACTTTGTCTACCTTGTAATTAGTGCTTGGTACTTGACTCGTATTTATACGAATTTTTTCACCACTGTATAATGGTGCGATGTTAATAATTGGACGCTATTATGTTAACGTAAAATACATTGTTCAGCGTAAAAGGGAAAAACATGTTATATTTATTTTATCCTTTAACTTATTTATTTCTAAGAATACATATTTTTTACTTGCACTAACAATATACATTACTATTTAAAAATGGAGGCTTTAATAGTAGATATATTTTATTGTTATGTTTCAAGGTTAAGTTATAGTAATTTACTACGATAGTATTTCGTTATTAATATATTATTTTTTACAGAAACTTTGATGAATAAATTCTATATACGTAAGTAATATGATTATAAATATACGATAAACTAGGGGACGGAAATTTAATTCTATGGTGGTATAGAAAATTTGAAAAACAATTTACAAGGGCCAGTAAAAACTTGATTGTAAGTTAATAACCGTTGTGTTATCATACTATTATTGTAAATAGCGATAAACGACGAACACTATCATAATCTTCAAATACACCATAAAAAGATAAAGTATAAATTATGTTCATAAAACCAGCGTTAAAAAAAAAAAAATTGTTTTGCCGTCTTGTTATTTTCCCTCCACGAGCCGAATATTGCCTGCGTGCCATCCAGTGTTTATTACAATGGTATGATAGGTGGGGGGAATACCCCCCGGAAAAAATGTATACCCCCCACCCACGAGAAAATCTATGACATTATTACGTTAACTACATATTGTGATGCGATAATGTGTGAAACGAGTTATCGGCCGAATGTAAGATATTTTGTGCATCACGGACCACGGTTGATAATAAAATAAAATAAATATTTAACATAATAATTTGTTGGATATTACTACCTTTTCGTATATCAAATAGTTGTTAGTCATCAGTAGGGCAGAGAACTTGTAACTCTAAAAAATCACCTGATATGCACTTAAATATACAAAATATGCATTAAAAATAATGGAGTATTATTTAATATAAAATGTATAAGTAATGTATGTATAGGTAGTAAATGTCTGTTAAATTTGTTTTCATATAATTAACCAAAATTATTAATTTTTTTTTAAGAATTTATGTATTCGTAGGTATCTATCGAAAACCAATAAATTGAGCTTAAAACGATATTTTTACTTCCCTTAATTATTTACTTTTAAGGCATACCACCTTGAAAATTTATGATCCCCCCCCCTGTCGGGGTAGAAGGTCTGAAATAAACATTGGTGCCGCCTATTGCCGAGCCCAGTAATAAAAAATCTAGATATTTTGAGTTAAGTATTTTGGAGTATCACATAAATATGAGAATTGCTTAAGATAGTGCATTTGGGTATAGCTGTCTTGGTGTAGAATCGATGTAGCACAAATATTTCAAATTTTTATTAAAATTGCAATTATTCGGATTGTAGCGTGCTTGTTTCTGATGTTCTTTTCGCTGTTTTGAAATAACTGTTAAATCATTGAAACCTTTGTTTATCAATTCAATGAAAGTTCAAAAGAGTCAGTGTGTGGTGATGGTTGTTAGAGCCAGGAGCATATAATTATGAGATATGTACGCCCCGGTCACCGAATATTTCGCACGCTTGTACGGTCACACACCGACTGACTTGTGTATATGTGTTTTAGTAATTCAATAGAAATGGACGAGTTTGCCGAGCAAGACTATTGAATTCTAGTGTGCGGTGGATGTGTAACTGTGTGTATATGTGTATGTGTGTTACTTAAACCTAGGGACAAATAGATAACTCAATAAAAATAACTGGTAACTCTATGTTATGATAATAGATATATAATAATAAATAATAATAATACTAATAATAATTACGGCCCTTTTGGACCAACATGTAAAAATATAACAATAATATAAATATAAAAACAATATGGGGAGCTATTTGAGCTACAATATAAAAAATAGGTAATACACAAAAATTATGCATGCCAGGTCCTTTGGCCCGGCAGAACAGTATAATATAATATATGACTCTTCTGGCCCAATAGAATATTTAATTATATAGTTAACAATTTGAGCTGTAACTCGTATGAATATAAATTTAATTATAATAATAACAATAATAATATGTGACCTTTGGGCTGAATTAATGTAAATATAAAAAAATAATAGTATTTAGCACTTTTTGTCCAGCCGTAGAAGAATGTAATAATATTCGTGCACAAGACACATGAATAATATTATAATTTATAAAAAAGGCGATTAGCGCCCACGCAATATAATATAATGAAAAAGAATGCGATTTTCGTACTCAAAATAAATATGAATTAGAAAAAAAACAATATAATATTATAATGACAACGTATGGCAGAAGACAAAAATTCGGACGGCTATGTAAACCTGCCACACCGGATGGACGGCGGCAGCAGATAACGCGCTGATAATTTTTACATAATGTTAACAATTAACGATGTTATATAATTCACAGACACAATTAAAATATAAAAATAGAACAAACAGAATGACAAAAATATGTTTGTTTGTGTGACCGCGAATCCGTGTTTTATTTAATACTTGGCTCTGTTATTTGTCGACGGCATTAACAATAGTGTTTTGGATTAAATAGACCTGGTAAATTTGCTGTATCTGGAGTTTTTGTGTATGTAGCTACCCCACTCCTATATTCGTTCTGCCACAAAAGATCCAAGACTTGGTCTTGACTGTGTTCTTGCATCTTGGAAATGCAATTTGTGTAGACCCGTATGATTATAATGCCTTCAATCCAAGGATTTCCAGTTATTACAAAAAAAATTGCTTCTATAGCTCTGATCTATAGCACTTGTAATTGTAAAAAATCTGTTAGCCCATTTAAGTATCAAATAATGTATGAGCAGATAACAACATGTAAACGCGGCATCAGTGGCATCGTTTAAAAACACGTCTTTTTGACCGATTAATACAAAATTATACATTTTGATCTATTATCCGTCAACTAAAATTATTAATATTGTTATTCTTCATATAAATACAATATTTATTTAATGTGATATATTATGTTTTACTTACATTTAATTTTTTGCATTCCGTTTTTTATAATTTTCAAGTAATAAAATAAGTTTTTAGAATCCCAAAAATAATCAAATACTTAATAAAAATAAATAATTTAATTCATCGATACATTTATTTGAAATTAAAATTCTGTTTCATCTACTGTCATACTTCTAGAACATTTGGGATAGACTGGTACAGTATGTTCTCGGCAGATGGGTGAATTAAAATGAATACAGCGAGTATTTTTTTTACGATTCTTTTTTTGTTGAACAATAAACACATCTTCCAGTACAATCTTAGCGTTCTAATATTATTTTTCTTGCCCAGTCAGATTTTTTAGGATTATTTTCAAGTGTCGGGGCAAAGTTTTTATTGTTAATCTGTGCTTATACATAATTCTTTTGAGAGTTCTTTCAAAAAATATCTTCGAGTTATTTTTTTATGTTTTTTTGAATCATTATCTCTTATAATTATAAAACTATTTATACCAGCAATATATAAATATTACAATATTTACGATATAAATATTGTAAGCGGCCAACGACAACTAGTTCTTGACACTGAGTACGAACCTTTTAATTCATCGACCGTATCAACGCCACATTTTGGTTGTGTATTTGTAAAATGTTAGTATTTCTGGTTTCATTGCCTCTCCTAGACTATCATAAATGTCATCACTATGATGCATTGTCGATACGAGAGTTACAAATTTTTTTTTTTTTTGAGACATATAACAGCAGAGTAGTGTCTTTAAAAGTTTTTCCGTATCCAAATAAGCTGCTATTTACAGGCCTAATTTTGGTTTGCACAAAAATTGGAGGTATTTTACGTTTATTTTATCTAATAGTTCCGACGACTGTTAGACGATGACTTTGCAATAAGGTTTGAACTAGTGGAATCGAAATGAACCAATTATCCATCGTAACTTTGCGCCCACTTTGTGTGATTTGAACTACGAGCTTTTCCACCACTTTTGGGGCTTGTTATCTATTTGATATGGCCCATTGGGTTGTTTTCCCGCATACACCTTCATGTTTAGAGTATAAAATTTTCGAGCATCGCAAAATGCAAAAATTTTTATTCCATATTTTGCGGGTTTATTTCTAATATATTGACGAAAGTTGCATCTCCGGCGAAATGACTCCAACATTTCATCTATCGTAGTATATTCATCTACCACATAATTTTCATGACATTTTTGTACAAAACCATTGAAAATGTTTCTAACTGGAGCTAATTTATCCACGTTTCGTCTTTTATTTCTCGTAGTAATATCGTCAAGCCGTAAAGCACGAAGAATAAACTGGAATCTAGTCCACATTGTTGACAAAAAAATCAATACCAGTATAATCCCCTGCTCACAAATCATTGAGATTTTGATAAGATGACTTTATCACTCTTGCCATCTAAAAAATCTAAATACAGCTTTCATTTCTTCAATATTTGTATTAAAAGCAGCTCTTGGTCTATTATAATTTGGTCGAATTCGTGAAATATGTATATTCGTACACTTTACTTTTTCCATAATGACAGTACCAATATGGAAAAAATAAGCTCCAGGACTAATAAGGAGTTTTTACTTGTTTCGCGTATCCAATTGGTCCAGGGCGTATATTCAGTATTTTACGGGTACGAGTACGTACATTACGAGGCGGTGGATACATATAGTAAATAGATTTTTTTTTTTTATTGATCTTGTATAACTCGGCAGCAAGGGCCATTAGTTGTCTCTTAAATTGTAATTACATTTTGTGAAATTTACACTGTTAGATCATTTTAACAATAATAATTATATTTTATCAATAAGGTTACTTAATTTTAAAAAGGTTATGATTTTTGTGTTTTGATCGGGGTTTGGTCCGAGAATTTCATCCAGTGTTTCTGTCAGGTTGAGTTTTGTACGTTCTTGTTGGTATGCGTGACATTCCGTAATAATGTGTTTGACTGTTATCTGTGTATTGCAAGTTTCACAGATGTGGGGTCAACGTTTGACAAAAGGAATCCGTGTGTTATCCTGGTGTGTCCAACTCTTAGACGGTTTATAATTGTTTCATCTTTTCGATTTAGGTTTGGATTTTCCCATTTGAAAATTGGGCTCTTGATCTGGTTTAATTTAGTGGTTTGGATTTTCCATAATATTAGCCACTTTTTTTTAAAATTGTTTTTCGCAGAATTTTTGAAGTTCGCATAAGTTTGCAGGTCTAGTACGTTTGTATCTGAGTTAGAAACGGCAATTTTGGCGTATTTATCTGTGGTTTTGTTGCCTATGATGCCGGTGTGTTCAGGGATCCAGATAAGTGTGATTTGTTTTTTGTTGGTTTTTTGCTTCCTC